TGTCATTTGATCTTAATTCATTGTTATAAAGCGGTAAGGGGTTATACGTTTTATCTATGAGTATGTGTGAGGCACGATTTATTTAATCATCCAAGGTTGTACGATTTATTTCAATCTGTTGATCATGGTTGTGCCATGGCTCCAAGGCAACACACTGCTCATACCACAAAGAGGATTGCTGAACAATTCCATGAACACTCTCTCAGGACTTGGAAATATGAAATCATAGTTTATTTTTTTATTCCGTTTGATGCACAAACATATTTTTTTTGTTTCCAGTATAACTCACGGCTAGTTGTCCTAAAATTAAATCACACCCACATCACTATCATCGCATATGCACGATTGACCATTTGTGTTTGTCTCTTCACTTTCTCAAATCAGAGTAGTTTCAGCGCTGCCTCAAATGAAGCCACCAACTTTTGGCTAAAAAGCAGCTGTAAAGGGCATTGCCGCATCGGATACACCGTCATCATCTGGATGATTTCCTCAGAAATGACAAGATAGAGGAGATGAGAAAGCGTTGCTGGTTTAATAAATATGTATAGTATATATGGAACGTCACAAAACAAATCAAGAAGAAAGGAAAAAGGTAAGATCTCTTTCTAATAGCTGTAGATCCAGGAATCCACCCTATGGCATTACTGTCATATCTATTCGTGTTTAAACATGTCTCCCATAGTTACCATCCGGCATACGACCTTGTGATCGTAAATCTGCTTCTAAATTTCGGTTCAGTTTTGTTCGCTTTTGTGTAGATAGAGTTGCTTCGAATTGGTCGCACTCGCACCAGTGATGTAAGATGTGTAGATATTCATAGTTTCTCAAAGGCTGTTTAGTTCATCACCCGTGACGACATAATCATGAAGAGTTCGTGCTTAGCATCTAAAACTATTTATTTATTTGCTCCCGCCCACTGTTCATTTTTAAGGAAATACATATATTTTTTAAAAGATTTTATTTGACCCTCATTTTGCATTTTATTAAAAATAAGAAATTTTTACAGCAATTTATGTACAACACTGCACTTTTATTAATAACAATAGTGGCATAATAAAAGTGGGTAATTAGAAAACATATATAGTTTTTTGTTATCTAAACTTTTTCCATGATAGCGGATGCTGGTAATTTGAATGTCAATTTGAGGGTATTTTACTTTAAAAATTGATAATGGGATAAGTTAGTAACTTAGATTTTCTTAGTGATTACTTAGATTATGTATCATAATGGTAGGACGGGTAATTTAGATGCAAATTTAAGGGTTACTTTAAGTTATTTTTCACAGTGGTAGAGATGGGATTAACTTTTTAGAAACAGAATATATCCAATGGTTGTTATTATCAAGGGTGATTAGAGTTTACCAAATTTAAGGTCAAGTCTTTGTGATTTAATTTGTTATATTATCAAAGCGCACAATTATATTTTATCATAAGATGCCATATGGCAACTTTTTTTTATCTAAGACCCGCATTTAGAGTTACTAAAAGATAACAAAGTTTATATTTTGAAATACATGCATGCTTTATATTCGTGGACCGAGGGAGTATAGATTAAGTTGGGGCTACCCTGTTGTATAGGTAGTTACTCCGTATTACGTAGTAGAGTGCGTTTGAGCTTTCAATTTCCGGTAGTGCGTGGACTTCATTTCAATCCAGAATTCTCCGGCGTTGTAATCCAAGTCGATTGTAGTTATTTATTTAATCGAGCAAGTTGCATCCAATTAGGCCACTTGACCAATTCAAGCTCACAAACATATCAGATAAACAATTAATTTGGTTTCTCGATCACCTTGAAGTTTTGGAAACAATAAGACATCGAGTAACAACCAAAAGATAATATTTGGACGTATTATGGACCTTGTCAAAGCTTCAAAGCATATTATAGAGACGTCAGGCCGGTCCCTTTCTTCTCCTTACTTTCTTCCCCAATCTTGTCTGATAGTCGCATCAAGATACTAATAAATCAATTGCCTATATGTTAATAATGAAGTAATCACGATGAATTCATACACAGACACCTAAACTCAGATGTGCATCTGTTTTTTTTTTTTTGCTGCTTTACTCTACACATCGAACGTTATTATTAGTTTGTATAAGTTGTAACATGTTTCGGTTTTCTCTTAAGTAAACATATAGATGGCCAACGGGCCGGCCCAGCCCGACACAGCACGGGCCTATGCCAGGCACGGCCCGATAGGGGTCGGGCCGACACGGCACGTCGTGTCTCCCGGGCCGTGCCGAACCAGGCACGGGGCCTAGCCAACGCCCCAGCCACAGCCTGTCGGGCCATTTTTCGGGCCGGGCTGGCCTAAGCCCGAGCGTTTTAGCAAGCCGTGCTAGCCCAGCAGCTCAACGAGAGGGGAACGGAGGCGTCGTCGTCGCCTCCAGGCAGGGCGCGGATGGCGAAGGGGCCTCCGCTTCCATGCACCGGCAAGCTCGCTCCCAAGGCCGACGTCCTCCATGTGCCCGCGTGACCTCCACGCGCTCGCCGATGCACGAGGGGAGCCACCATCGCACTTTGCTCCAACGCGCTCGCCGAGGCTCGGGAGTTGTGGTTGTCGGATCTGCTGGAGGCGGAGGCGAGGCACCCACCGACATCGAGTCTGGTGGAGACGGAGGGGGATCTGGTTGAGGAAGGAGGAGGCAGCGCGACACTTGCTGAAGGTCAGAATGGGGAGCGGGTGGGGGTTGTGGGTGGGGAAGCGAGCGGCGGGCGTGACTCGCAATCGCAACGTGGAGAGGGAGGCCGGAGAGAGCCGAGCCACTCATGTCACAAGTGTGGCGCCTGATGGGATACGGGAGGGGGCGCAGGGGGCTTTAGCAGGCCTTGCAGGCCAGTCTGGGGGGAGGCCAGGCCGCTACCGGGCCTGCCATTGTAGGCCGGGCCGTGCCGGGCTGGCACGTCGTGCCTGGGGTAAGGCCCAAGCACGGCCTGCTACTCCGGGCCGGGCTATCCCCGGCCCGCACGCCACCGGGCCGGGCCGTGCTCGTGTCGGGCCAAAATTGTGAGCTTCGTGCCGGGCCATCGTGCCGCGGGCTGCATGGCCAAGTATAAGCAAACATCGTGACTTCTTTTTTGACACCAACTGAATATAAATCCATTGTGATGTTTGAAGTGTATTTTTAAACACGCTGATTTCAGTTTAGGAGGAAGAAGAAGGAGACGGTTGCGTGGAAGAGGAGCTCGCTAGCGTTGGAGACGAGAAGTTCGCCGCCGATAGGATTCCGGTGAGGTAAGTTTTCCAATTTCGACCGGCTTAGAAGGGATTTGGGGGTGGGGTGGGGGGCATGTGGTGGGGACGGCAACTGGGCGGTTTAGGGGCCCTGGTGGCGATGGCGATGGAGGCGGCGAGTCGTCGGTCGGGGGATGGCTATGGCAGCGGGGAGGGAGGGGGGAAAGGGAGGCCGCCACAGGCGCGATAGAGTCTTGTCGGAGCTCCGACGAAATCCTTTCGCGCAGCAGCAGGGCGGTGGGGGTGGGCGGCGGTTGGCACGGATGCGAGGAGGAAGAAACCACACGGATGGAACAAGGAAGATGAATAGTGCACGCGCGACCCCAACCACACGATGATGATCCGACGGCTCTGCATCGTCGCCTGAGAGAAACCCATTTTTCAGACGCCTATATTATAGCGATTAATTCCCGTTTTTGAACTCTCACAGGTACGCTATTCCATGCTATTTTTATTTTTATGGTTTTCCGAGGCAACTCTCATGTTTAAAATAATTGAAGTCACATGTATGAGAACTATTTTCAGAAGCAGCCGTTTTCTATTAGCAGAGATAGGCATCCCTGTCAAATAATCTCTGTTGATGGGCATTTATAGAGACGGTACCTTAGAATATCGTCTCTGTTAATATTATTGTTTACAGACGTGGGTGAGTTAAAAGATGACCATGTCTATTAATGGTTTATGTGTCATGAATGATATAATGATACACAAAAAAGACTAGTGGCATATACCACGTCATGTCTCCGTTATGCTCAACTCAATATAAATAGGATTGAAATGATTCAAAGTGTCAAGCTAGTCCCAAATGGAAGTCAAGGAAATTAAAAAAGAACGAATAGGTGACCAAATGTACATCCTCACACACGGTAGACGGAAGGCTTCGATGCGTCTTGACGCAACATATGTAGCGTCCTAGATTTCAAGGACCCCTTTGAGATCTGACAAGAATAAACAAAATGTGCGTACCCTGGACGAGACGCTAACGAAACACTAGACTGGTAGGTCTGTCGCCTGTGCCCTGTAGGTCACTTTCTGTTCAACGAAATCCGTGAATGAAAAGGATATGTCTTTGTTAGTCGTGGCTCAAATTATATATATGCGCAGCGTAGGAAGAAGTTCTTCAACTAAGAATGTTGTTTTGGAAACTATTGTAGATTCAAATTCACCTATCTATGCTCTAGTAAAATTTCAAGGAAAACCGGTCGTCTGATCTGATCTAATCTACATCTACCACCAGTGTTCTTGTTTTGCTCCGGATCGATAGTCCTTTTTAAAAACTGAAAACTGAATTTGCTCTCTGTGTCCAGTCCTGAATACTTGGTCAAGCCAAAGGGCGTCTGTCAGACCCTGTGTTTACTTTCAGACCAAGAAATTTTCAAGTAAAGCACGATTTATATACTCCTCTATAACCAAAAAATCAGCAAACCCCCAGGCTTATACATGTATATCAGCAGGTAAGGTAAGTCCTCAGCAGCCTCTTTATCAGCAGCTTCCATTTGTAAAGCTCCCAAGAGTCCAAGGCAGTAGCCATCAAGATTACAACGCGTTCACTATTTGCACAAGCAACAACAGCCACTTGATGCATCCTCCATCCTCCTACTTCTTCTTCTTCCTCTCAAAGCTTGCTCCCGCAGTCCACACCCTTATTTATACTCTGCTCACCCACCTCATGCTCATAGCATACTAGGAGTACCTGGCAGCACACAAGTAGCACTTCACCACCACCTTCGCCGTACCTCCAGCTAATAAGGGCCGGGCATATCCACCCATGGCGCTCAAGCGCAAGGCGTGTCCGACCTTGGCCGACGACGACCATATCCTCGCGTCGACGCCCCTCGCTACCGGCGCCAACAACAGCTTTGCGCCAGCAGTGGCGGCGGCGATGACGGAGTCGTCGTGGGCAGAAGCGGCGGCGGGAGCGGTGGCGGCAGCGCAGCGGGCCCGGAAGCGGTTCGTGGGCGTGCGGCAGCGGCCCTCCGGCCGGTGGGTGGCCGAGATCAAGGACACCATCCAGAAGATCCGGGTGTGGCTCGGCACCTTCGACACGGCCGAGGAGGCCGCCCGGGCCTACGACGAGGCCGCCTGTCTCCTCCGCGGCTCCAACACCCGCACCAACTTCTGGCCCCGCGCCGCCGGCCCCGCCGCCGTTGCTGCTGTCATGCCGCCGCCCCACCACCAGCTGGTGGCGCCTGCTGCACCGTCCGCTCTGCCCTCCAAGGTCACCAGCCTCCTCCTCCGCCGCCTCAAGAAAGCACGCAGTGCAAGTGCTGTCAGTATCACACAACAGGACGCGCCAGCGCAGCAACACCAGCAAGGGTACGGCGGCGCCGGCGGCCCCGAGGAGTACAGCTTCCAGGTCGACGACTTCCTCAGCTACGACAGCACCAGTGACGTGAAGCACGAGGAGGGGTCCACCTGCTCCCAAGGAATAACGGAGGACGACGGCGACGAGGAGCGGGTGGTGGCCTGCAAGGAGGACGACGAGGCGCCGCTGGACTTTGGGTTCATGGACAAGCGCCCGTCACCGGCTGATGGTGAGGCTGCTAACGACGCGGGGGTGCTGCAGTACTCTCCGTTCGAAATGGTGGCAGCGGACCTCGGTGACGACGACGCGGTGGAGATGGAGCCGCCGCCTACTTATGGCGGCGAGGGCGAGGGCGAGGGCGCCGGCGAGCCGTCGGCCGCGATCCACGAGGTGATGAAGAGGATGAAGTACGAGAGGAAGATTTCCGCGTCGCTCTACGCTCTCAGCGGGGTGTCGGAGTGCCTCCGCATGCGCATCGGCGACGGTGGCAGCGGCGACCATGGCAGTGCTGCTGGGAAGCACGAGCTGGCGCTCTCCGGCCTGAGGGACGCGTGCAGGAACAAGAGGCAGCAGCAGGGACAGGGACAGCACGAACAAGAAGTAGTAGACAAGGAAGGTAACGTCGTTGGCCATGAGGAGTGCTCGAGCTGCAGCAACAGCTTCTCGTCGGAAGCAACGAGCTCTTCGCCGGAAGCAGCCAACGACTCCCCGCAGGAGGCGAAAGCAATAGACAACAGTGACATGCTTCTATGGAGCTCCCTTGATCTGCCTCCTATCTGCTGAAGTTTATTGTTATAGAATGATAAGTTTTAATTAGAATCATCGAGTATTAGAATTATTTATTTATAATATTGTTTTTTTTCGAAAGATCCGTTGTCGGCTTTGATTAATAAGTGAAGGATGAAATTACAGTGTCTCAGCGCGAGAGGCGCTCATTTTGCCTGGCATACACCTTTACAGTGTTTGCCCTGCCACCCCTAAAAACCTTCTAAGAAACACTTACATATGGATATGATCATTAACGACTAGCTGAGCCGTTTGCGGCAGCACCAGCTCTAGACCTCTATTTCCAGCATGCAGCCAATTCTTTGCTTCATCCTGTATCACTCTGAAAAGTTGCTCCGGCGTTCTTGACGATCTGTTGAAAGCTCAGTTATTCCTCTCCTTCCATAGTTCCCAGGTAGTCAGCATAATCATTGAACGCACACCATTTCTTGTAGCTTTTGGGCCCTTGTCTCCCATATCAGCATACCATTGGCTCATGTCTTCAATTTGGGTCCAGTTCACCGGCCTCAGATGTGCTGCACTGATCCAGACACCCACCTTGTCCTAGATCATCATAGAGTATCAGCATTCCTGGAAGAGATGTGATACCGTTTCTAGATTCCTTACACAAAGCTGACAGAAATAGTCATTAGGCCATTGTCTGATTAACAGTCGCGCCGCCGTCCAGATCCTATTCTGTAGCATCAACCATGTGAAGAATCGACATTTTGGTGGTGCCTTTGTCTTCCATGTAATGTCAGCTGTCCTGGATGGATTCGTTCCCATGAATTGTAGTCTATACGTCGAGCTTGCTGAATACTGGCCATCGCTGGTATGTAGCCAGGTTATCTGATCATGCTGTGTCGGCCGTAGAATAACCTCCTGCAGACGTTCCCATAGCGACACAAATTCTTGAATCACCTGATGAGACATGTTGTGGTCCACATCTCTGATCCACTTGTCTTCAGTCAGCTCATCCTGAACTGTTCTATTCTTCCTTTTGCTGTGTTTGAACAGGACCGGGTATAAGGTTGCAGGTGCTTCTCCTTGCAGCTAGCGAGAGGTCCAGAAGGTAGCCTTGTTTCCATTGCCTAAAGTCACAGTTGTTGCCGCGTTGAAGAGTGCTATATCAGTGCTGTCTATCGGTAGATCTAGACCTTTCCACGGCCTGGCTGTGTCATCCCATGAATACCATAGCCAACGAAGTCGCAGAGCGCGACTGAACTTATCAAGCTCGATGATGACAAGGCCCCCATTTACCGTTGGTGTGCAGACCTTGGTCCATGCCACCTTACAATTTCCTCCTGTAAGCTCCTTGTCTCCTGCCCATAGAAATCATCTACACAGTTTGTCTAGTTCTTTTAGGAATTTTTTGGGTGCTTTTACTGCCGTCAGCAAATAGACCGGGATTGAGCTGAGCACAGAGCGCACCAGTTCTCTTCGGCCAGCCACACTCAGTAGTCGGCCCTGCCAGCCTGCTACTCTTCCCTTTGCTCTATCTTGGATGTACTGCAGATGCACCATTTTGATTCTTCCAAGTGTGAGAGGTAGGCCTAAGTATTGTATTGGGAAATTTACTCTTGGCCCCGGGAAGTCATGCAATATATCTTCCATGTTTAGTCCAGAGGACCTAATCGGAGCTATGGTACTCTTCTGCATGTTGATCTTCAGTCCAGTGGCTGCACCAAACGCGTTCATGATCTCCATGATGCAGGTAATGTCCTGCCGTGTGGGGTTGGTGAAGATTAACGCATCGTCGGCATACATTGAAATTTGGAGGCTTGCATACCTCCCCTTGAGCTTTGATATGAATCCTTGCTGTGTTGCAATGTTGAAAATATTGTTAAGGACATCGATTGCTAGTATGAACAGGTAGGGTGAGAGAGGGTCGCCTTGTCTGAGTCCTCTTCGATGCCTGATAGCTTCTCCTGGACATCCATTCAGCAAAATAGCTGAGGAGGACGTTCTAAGTATTGCTGCCAGCCAGTCAAGCCATCTTGTAGGGAATCCTCTTCTGCCCAGTAGCTCAATTAGGTATTCCCAAGATACCGAGTCGAAAGCTTTAGTTATGTCAAGCTTGATAAGACAAGCTGGTGTTTTTGTCCTATGGTAGTGGCGTGCTAGGCCCCTGACATACAAAAAATTTTCCTGGATGCATCTTTTTTTAATGAATGCGCTCTGGGAGTGTGAGATGAGTCTGTCAATATACACTGATAATCTTATGGCCAGCACCTTGGTCAGCAGCTTTGCAAAAGAGTGTATCAGGCTAATCGGTCTAAAGTCCTTTGGCTCTATTGCAGTTTCAGTCTTGGGAATCAGCACCACCTGAGCCGTATTTAAATGTTCCAGCGCACCATTGTGTTGTATGAAAAATGCATGGAAAGCGTTAAGGATATCTGGCTTGATGATATCCCAGCAGTTCTTGTAAAAATCATTAGTGAAACCATCTGGCCCTGGTGCCTTTTCACTGCGTAAGCATCTGACAGCTTGATCTAATTCATCTTCAGTAAAAGGTCTGTCTAGTTCCAGCCCTGTAGACTATTGTATGGTGTTTATCTGGAGATGTTGCCATTGTAAGGTGTGTTGCCTCCTGACCTTTTTCCCAATCAAATTCTCAAAGTACTCTGCAGGACTTGTTGTTTATCATTGTTTGACCAGACCAAGGAGCCGCCTTGGTTTTTCAGTGATGCAATATATTTTCTTTTTTTCCTAGCTGCCATCTTAAGGTGAAAAAATCTCGTGCAAGCATCCCCAGCTTTGATGAAATTGATTCTGGATGCCTGTCGCCTTCTGCTTCTCTCTAATGCTGATAGGCCCAAGATTCTAACCTTGAGGTCACTTCTTAAGCTGATTTCCCCTACTGTGAGTTGCCTGACTTCTTGAGCGATATCCAGTCTAAATATGACCTCATTTGCAATGTGCAGTTGTAGCCTCGCATTGCTGAACAGCTTCTTGTTCCAGTTGCGTAGCGCCGTAGCCGTTTCTGCCATCTTCTTGTTTAGTACATTGTGCGCTGAGCCAAATTGTGGTTTATTCCATGCTGCTGTCACAACCTCCTTAAACCCATCAATCTTTAGCCAGTGGTTTTCAAATTTGAAAGCCGCCTTTCTGACTGTGCGTTCTTGACGGGTCAGGAACAGCGGGCAGTGATCTGAAGCACCCGTTGCCAGAGCGTTGGGCGCGAAGTTTGGGAAGGCAGCCTCCCTGCCATGATTACAGAACATCCTGTCCAATCTTACCAAGGTTGGGCTCTCTCTTTCATTGGACCACGTGTATTTCCTGTTTTGCGGTGCAATCTCCATGAGCTCACATTCGTCTAATGCTCGTCTGAACTTTCCCATCATTCTTCTATTGAGGTTCAGGTTGTTTTTGTCGCTGGCCTGATAGATGAGGTTGAAATCTCCTACAATGATCCATGGAATAGTAGCTGGCGGCCTGATAACCATCAATTCAGCAAGGAACTCATCTTTTCTGCCATCATCCGCAGGTCCATAACATGTAGTCATTAGGAAAGGTGTCTCTGAAGATATAACCTTGATAGTTGCTGAAATGGTGAAGTTTCTATTTACTGCATTAGTGACAGAGATCATGTCCTTGTTCCAGGCTAAAATAATTCCACCTCTAGTCCCCTGAGCCCCCAACTCAAGATAGGAGTTAAGACATTGGCCGAGGGTCTCGTGGGCCAGAGTAGTAGTGAGACAACTCAGTTTGGTTTCCTGCAGGCACACAATGCTTGGCCGCGAGCAGGTCACCGTTTCTCTGACAAGTTCTCTATGAGCAGCGTCATTGAGGCCCTTTACATTCCATGTTAGCACAGTAAGGTCGTTTCTATCCATGGAACAACAAACTAACCACTGATATTAGGGCTTGAAAAAAGCCAACATCACACTAACCTGCCGACTACAGGTTGCTTCAGGCACACAGCAGCCATTACTGATAACCCAACTCATCTCCCTGCAACAGACTACTACTTCCTTCCAGCTAAGACAGCAGTACTGGACTATTCCCCTACCACACTGACTCGATACAAAGCAGTGCAACATGCCTGCTGACACAACCTCACTACACCCAAGCACACACAAACTGCTAAGGATTAACATGGATAACTTGGTCCTGCAGCTGTCATAACCGAGCCAACTCAGTCCCCTCCATCCTCCATGGCCTCAGCTCCCTCATCAGCCATGATCTGTGCTGCCGCCGTCATCACTGTCCCACTGTCCAACGACGTTAGCTTCCTCACTGCAGCAATCTGCTCTGGGGAGAGCGGCGTGCCAAAGCTCTTGGTGAAGGCCTCCAGTGCCTCCTCCCCAATTGGCTCCCCTGGTCCAACCATCTCAAATGCCTTGATGAGGCGGTGTGTTGCGCGCTTGGAGACCGGCACAGAGCAGATCTTCGCCTGCTGTCTGGTGCTCCTCCTCAAGCCTCCTGATGCAGTCTACCCCTTCTTCGCCCTGCCTGTAGCCTTGCTCTTAGGCTGTTGAGGTGCTGGCGTCTCTAGAATTGGCTGCTCACAGGGAACGAACATGCTGTCGACAATGGAACTCCTGCGCTCCTCCAGTATCAGTTCAGCGACCTGCTCGGTGATGCCAGCGGTGATCATTTATGATATTGTTTGCCACATGATAGAAGGATATATATAGATACATACATAAGAAGCCCTTTTATGGTCACATAGTTTGGCTTACTTTCTATAGGAAGTGACAGTTTTTACTTCCAGAATCATCAATAAGATTTTAATTTAACTACGCATGGCTTAATTATCATCTATGGTTACAACAATGTTGAAATATTCTTGTGACAATTCATTTATAATGTTCATATTCTGTTATGTGTATACTGCACTAACATTTGTCGACAGTACTACTGATCTGTCCATCGTTGCCGGTTCCAAACCAGCCATCACTGTCGCGATTTTGGAAGGGGTACTAGGCAAATAGCTATTGCTACCGTTATGGAAACGATGATGATATCCATGTTTCCCTTGCGGTTGTATGGTACAACTTGAAACTGGCTATCAT